TACTTTGCATTCCAAGGGTTAAACATTCATTGGGATAACATGATGTTCATTTCTCTTTTATGAAATGTAGTGAAATAATACAGGTATGTTCTTCGATGTTGTATTATATAATCAACCTTGTCCAAGCCTCCTCAAAGTTAATTGAAGTATTAAAGTCATACATGCATTTTTTAAAATCTTCTCATAATATGATTTATTCCAGTGTTTCATCAATTTCAAGAATAGAGAAAGTCTTCTTCATAAATACATCACTAGAGATATCTTTGCTGCCAAAACTTCTATAACAATTGCTTAAGCGAGGCAATTTGGCTTAAGTGACCATTCGCTTAAATGAGGGGTTTCACTTAAGTCATTATTCGCTTAAATGAGTGAAGTTACTTAGGCAAATTTGGAGACTGTTAGAATTTTGTAAAGTGAAATTAGATGGCTTCATTTCCATTTCAAACTCTCTCTTTTGTCTCATTTCAAAACTTCTATATTCTCAAAACTTTTGTCCTCTCTTCCTAAGCTTCAAAGGCAAGGAAAATATTTGTTTAGGTACATTGTGCAATGTCATTCCTTATGTATTTGTTGTGATTATCTTTGTTTTAGATTGCTTTCATTGTGGTGTTTGGCCTTAGGATGTTAATTTTCTTAACTTTTGCATGGGATTATAAGCCCTTCATGCCATTTATTGTAATATATGAATTTTTAAACTTTTATTTTCATGTTGGACTTATTGAAAACATTAAGTATTTTGATTAAATGTCACTTTCACTTTATTTGTTGTCTGCGCTGTAATTTTCGCTTAAATAGAACTTAGTCACTTAAGCAAATAATATTCAAGGAAGAGGGAAAGGGCAAGAAAAATTCGCTTAAGCAAACAAATATTGCTTAAGAGATTTTTGGTGGCTTAAGATACTTAAGTGAATTTACTTGAAAATTGTTTTCTGCTTTTGGTTTCAGGATGGTACCAAAGAAGTTTATTCCTTAAAGAAAGAGACAAAGACCTGAAGTTGGGCAAACTTCACAGCAGCATGATGAACCTATTGATCAAAAACAACAACAATCACTAGCTGAAACTCAATCACAACCACAAATAGAAATCATATCATGGGTTTTAATGAGTCAACGTTTTCTGTTATGTAATGGATTTTATTTTTAATTTTTCAATGCTGAATCTGTAGTTTTTATTGATGGATTTTAATATTTATCCAAATTGATACCTTATATTATATTTCTTTGTCACGTGTAAGATGTAAGTTTAAAAAACTATGTAATCAAAGTGTATTTGGCCCTCTTTTATGTTGTCTATATCTGCATAATTTTAGACATTTTCTGATATCTTCGCTTAAGCGGACAAATATCGCTTAAACGAAACGTCTTTTGCTGGATTGTTTAAATCTTGGCTCAAGTGCTTACCACATTCGCTTAAGCTATTTTGTTTCCACTTAAGCGACTTCCTATGTCTGAAACCATTGTTTTCTATCTTAAATTTCCTTAATAATAATAATAATTGTTTGTCACGGCTTAAACGAATTAGTGATCGCTTAAGCTATTCATAATTTGTTGAAGCAAAATAGATAACTCAAAATGTCTCTTTAGTCCATTTTTGCTTAAGTTTATTTTTACTTGGAGGGACTTAAACGAAAACAAGTCACGTAAGCGAAACCTATTTTAGGTCTCTTCTAACTCGCTTAGGCATGTTTCACTGTTCATCAAGCCTTCACCTTATTTTCTTAAGCTAATTGTATTCAATTTTCCCTTAAGCAGAATAGTTCTTACTAAAACTGCAAGTATCCATATCCCAATTTTATGCCTCAACTTAAATAATTAGATTGTAGCTAATATGTGCTAATACATATTTCTTGACAGACCCAAAAATAAGAAAGGAAACTAAGGTCGAAAGTTCATGAATGAAACATCAATGAACTTCTTATGCTTTACATAGAAATGTGTGCTAATGGGATTGACGAATTTTCATTTCTCGATACAGAAAGTTCAAATAGCAAACATTCATCTATAAACAAATTTCATTTCAGTTCTTCATTGACCAAGAGTTCGTTTGTATAAACAGAGTTAATTTTGTAAACACCGAGAAACTAAATCATGAGAATGGATTATACATCCTATTTACCTGAATATTCAACCATAAGCCTTTTGACCATTGAGTTAATGTAACTAAATCATCATCAGTAAGAACTGTGCTGCCATTGAATTATTTGTTGGATTGAGAGAGCAGTCGCTGAGTTACTATCCAGAAACAAGAATTCATCGGCAACTATAGGAAGAGACAACTTCAAAGGTATCATCAAGCCAAGATAGAAAATTTTATTGAAGATGCAGCATTAGATACTAAACCTTAAATAGACAAACACATATATACTAAAGAAAGAATCACTCAGTCCATCAAATATCAAAGGTCTTTAACAATGAAAATGCTGTTATAAACCTTTGACTTTTGTTCAAATAAAAATAAACAAAAATGACCAAAAAAATTATACAAAATTTATATAAATAAAATTAAAATTTATTTAAGTAAAAATAAATCTGGACGTCTAATTTCTTCTACAAAGAGAAAGATTCAAATCTAACGTGGATTTTATTAACACAACAAAAATTGATAATAATAGATATTGTGCGTCTAGAATTTCCCACCGCAAACCTAACTTGATGATAGAGCATATATTTAACAATGAGAAATCAAATCGCTACTCAGCTCAACTTAAACAATCACATATTCAGTTTCCAAAACACTATGAAATAAGCAAAATGAGAACCAAGAATCAAAAAAATAAAAGATATAAACACTTCTAACGAACATCAGTAGAAGTTATATGTAATCGAATTAGTGATTAAGGACCCGGACATAGTCACAATTGCTCATAGAACAGTAAGCCAATAAAGCTAAAAATTGAGCTTTGACTTAAGACTAATTATGCTTGAAAAATTTAAAAGCACTGCTAAAGTGATAATCTACTAACAATCATCTCTTCTTCTAGTTTAATGGCAAGATAAAGTGACCCAATAATCATAGTATCCATTTTCTAAAGCGGCAGAGTAACCGATAGCTAACGTAGCCATAGATATTTGTTCCTCCTGTATGTGCAAACCTGCTATTCTAATAATTATTTTCGGAATTTTCAAGTTCTTATGCTTCTTGTGCTTCCTCTGTTACTAGTTAATTATACGTATTGCTTTCGCAGATTCATTCACGGTTATCCTGTGAAAAACATTTTGGTTTACAAGGAAGATTTAAACACAAAACCCAACTAATACTTCATGACCAAACCCAATGGAAAAATATGACAAAGCCCATTAAGAGCAAAAATTTTTCTAAACCCAACTAAACAAGACACACTGAACTTAAAATTTGAAACTTAACAAACAAGTTCTACTTTTCCCAAGACTAATATAATATCCTAAGCCCAACATGTATATAATAAACCTTTATACCAACTTCCCATCTGATAACAACCATGTTCAGACCCAAAAAACAAAACACCGATAACAGCTTATAGCAAACTATTTTTAAGATTTTCTGAAAAGAAAATAATTTTTATTTTGAATATATATTTTTTACTTTTGAATTTATTATTTCATTCATCAATATTTTTTTAATTTAAATGCAATCATTTAAGTTTTTATAACAGGTAATAATATGAATAATTTTTATATTATATTATGTATATATATGTTCAAATTTTTTTTCAAGTATACACAATTATTATGCTAATAATGTTTTAAACTACTTTTAGAATCCCTTCATTATAAATAGTTATCTTCACATTTTTATAATTATATTTTTAAATATCCACCCAAGAAGAAAATTTTCTCCTCACTATTAATAGTTAGAGTATTTCTTTACGCACTCTTCTCTTATGACCGTGTATATTTTCTCATTTTGTGTCATGTGGACTTAAAACTTTTTTTCTTTTTTTTTACTTCTTAGCAATGAACACATTAATTGACCTTCTGTATGTACAGAAAAATTTTCTTTCTTAATTGATTCTCAGACAAACGAGTAATTTTTCTTTTGTGAAAATTAAATCTCTCAATAAATCATGTAATAAAACTTTCAAAAATTGACACGAACTTTTGAATTGTACAGACTGGTTCTCACCTTTCACTCACATTTTTCAGAGTCAATTTGAAGGATATTTATAACCTGGGTGTTAGTTTTTTCTCATAAAAAGTCACTGTGGCTTTGGAGAAACATACTATTAAAAAAAAATTAGTTTGTTTGTTTAAACTTTTAAAAAATTTAAAATATTAAAAATCACAGTTCCAGTTATTTTGATAAACTATTTATTAATTTCCATAAAAATAGTTATGATTACCTTTTAAAATGTTGTTTTTGTATGCTTCTAACCAAACAAAAACTAAATTTGATTTTACATGAAAATATTAGAAAATAAATCAGTTCTTTACATGTTTATTTAAACATTTATTTTAAAAAAATTCAACAAACGGATCTTATATTCTTTCTCCCATGCAATTAGAGAAAGCTGGTTCACTTTTCTTTCTCTGTCATAAATGGAATTATATGGAAAGAAGAAAGGAAAAACGAAAAAAAGCTCTGAATTAAGGTGGAGAGGGGGGAAAGAACAATATCAACATTGGACTTTAGGTTCGAACATGGGCTCTATACAAAGGATTTTAATTACAAATTATGTTCAACATCGATACTGGAATTGGGCTTTTATTAAAGTATCTTATTTGTGGTAATATTTATTTATTTATTTTTCCCTTTTGTTTAATTTTAATTTTTTTTATGATACAAAATTTGGTGTCAACAACCATGCCAAGATCATCTTAATGCAAGCGTTTACCCCAAGAATTGTATAACGTAAAAGCAAACAGCTATACATTCCATATCCATATAAACAACGAGTGTTACTTATACACACATTCTTAAAAAATTCCTTGTAATTTAAGAGAGAAATGGTAAAGAAGAGACAGAAGGGTCATAAAATGAATGATACGGAGAAAGAAAAAGAAAGAATGAATCCTTAGAAATGTTGTAAGGATTTATATATATGTATCATTACTCGTGCCAAAATAGAAACAACTGAAAACCAAATAAAAGCTAAACACCCTTACATTATGTGTGTAGTTTAACTTGAGAATTTTCAAATTTGAAAGGAACATTACTATATATGAACACTTCTATTCAAGGGGAAAATTTTCATTTTCTTTGGATCTCATACTCAACCTTTGAAATTGATATTAAATCCATCTCCTAATCATAAAGCTGCTATGTTAGATTTGTCCCAACCTTAAGGTAGGCTGCACTACCACTTCATTATCAATGGTCCTAGACTTTTCCCTGTGTGCTTGTCATGATTTCATCTTTATTTACTCATAGATGTTGTCCGATTGCATCTAGCAATAGAGTAAACAGAAGTAACTAAGCAGCAAACATAGTCGTAATCATGTATAGTTCAAATATCTATACATAGAAGGTATACAAAGGTTCTGCACAAGTTCTATCTTCATTTCTCTTTATAAGGCATCATATTGAAGTCATAATCTTGGTGCTTAAACAGTACTTCCTAATTGAAGCAAAGGAGATACCAACAAGAGAAAGTAATCTATAAAACACTGCAAAGGGATCTTAATCAGGTTTCTTAATTATATTCTGTATAACCACAGTCCTTGCTTTCCTTATCTGTCGACTGCATTTATCAGCATGAGCACTCAAAGTCTCCATAGTCTCTGAAAAGGTTTCTATTCTTTTCTTAATCTCATCAATAGCAAACTTTATAACATCCTCATTTCTAAGAGCAAAATCAGCATTCTGCAACAATGATTCAAGCTCTACTTCCAATTTGTTGGTAAGCACTCGAATGTTGTCCAAGTCCTTCAATGAAATGTAAGTACCAACCTGCATTGAGCTGATTACCTCCCGTTGTCCCTTTAGAGCTTTCTGGTAGCCCTTAAAGAGCGAGTTGCACCATTTTCCTACTGATCCTATTGGAACAGCCAATGCAGCAGCCAAAGCTGTTACAACCGGAGGCGCAGCAACAGAAGCTGCCACCACTGAGAAAATTAACACAGCAACAAAAGCAGCCACAAAAATGGCATTAGACACTCTCTTCCAAGTCTTGAGGGATTTCAATTTCTTATCAAGCTTTCTCTTTCTGATTTGCAATTTCTGCAACATCGATGCCTGCTGCGTGTAAACTGATTGAAACAGCAAGTAAAACTCTTCTGTAAAGGGGTCCCCGGCATCCTTAAAGTTCTTAAGCTCTTGCAATGTCTTCACATAACTCACGCCTTCAATCCCATTTTGCACCTCTTCCTCAAAGTAGGTAATCACTGACTTGACTATCATCTGGTTCTCACGAGCACGCCTCAAGCATTTCTCAAGGGAGTTGCAGAATTCCAATGTTTGGAGGCTATTATCAAAATAATCACTCACCAAAGAGAACAAATCCTTGTTGCCCCATACATCTTTCTTGCAGTCCAAAATGACTTTGACAACTTCCTGGTTCATCTCAAGCAGACTATCAGTCACTTCTCTCAGTGAGTCAAAAGATAAGGATCTAACCTCAACCCCATGAGCAAGTGAACTAATCACCCTGTTGGTATGTTCCTGAATGCTCACATCAAAAGATTGCAAGTTTGGATCTTTAACACATGCAGCTTCGTAGGAGCTCAAATCAGCAGCATACAGAGAATGAGTACCCATTTTAATGGCTGTTGGGGTATCAGCAGTAATCATCTTGCTAGATTGCCCTCCCATCTTGATAGCTCAAAACCACAAACAGATCAAATCCAGCTTCTAAAAAGTAAAACCCAAAATGAAAAAGAACCAGTTTTTTTTTTTTTCACTCCCTTTCTTCAATTAATCACAAATAGTCCTTTCAAACTTTGACAAGACTGCTCCACTGGATCTGAGGCTAGTTTGAGGGATAAGAAGGAAAGCAGCGTTGACTTTGGCTAGATCCAGTACTAAGGACTATAAATTATAAATACCCAAATCAAAGTTGCAATTTTTTCGTTCCGTTACCTGAGATTCAGCTGAAGTTTCAGTTGTGTCGGTAATTCTGATTCCTTATTGATGACTAGATTGTGGAAAATTTGTGATGCTTGCAGAAACTTACTGCTTCAATTGAAGGCTTGGTTTGGAAGAGGAACAAGTGATGTTCAGATGTTAAGATTGTGTCTTGGCCTTGGATGTGTCTGAGAACCAAGGTGGCTTCACTGGCTTGCGGAGTTGCGGAGCATGTATGAAGTCAAAGCAAGGCAGCGAGGAAGCCAAACACAAAATGGATCGTGAATATATTTGACCTTTCCAGGGTTGGGTGGTAGTTGTTTGGCAATATCAAACTACTATCATTTTGTTAATTCCCAAAATTCTAGTAACGGGAATTTTAAAAACATTATGTCAGAGGATGTTTGTTTTCTATTTTACAAATAATTTTCTGTTTATTTTTAAAAATATAATATAATATAAATTTGTATTATATTATATTTTTTTAAAAAAATTATTTTTAAAATAAAAACTAAACATATTCTAATTTTTTTTAATAGTATGCTTTTCCAAAGGTAAAGTGACTTTTTATGAGAAAAAAATTAACAATCAAGTTATACATATCCTTCAATTGAAAGTTTTATTGCATGTATTTATTTAGAAATTTAATTTTCACAAAAGAAAAATTACTCGTTTGTCTGAGAATTAATTAGAAAAGAAAAATTTATTTAACATTTTAGTTTTTAAATTTGAACATTTTTAATAAAATCTAATGCAACATTTAACATGTATAATTAATTATATGATAAAAATAATATAATATATAATATGATATATATTTTTTTTAAATTTTAATCTTTAAGATTATTATTCGTCTAACATTTTAGTTCTTAAAATTATTGTCATCACGTATTTTAATTCTTTATTTTTAAAACTTTTTATTTACTTATTTTTATTTATTTTTCATAGACTTAGAACTTGAAATGGAATGTTTTTTCTTTAATCATGTTTCATATTGCGTAGAAAAAGAATTTAAGAAAAACTCTTGGCTCATAAAGAATTAAGTAGGTAGATTGACATGTATAATTTGAGGATATTTTTTATCCAAGATATCTAATTGATGTTTACTTTTAGTATTTTGAGATTTCAAACTGTATTTAGATATGTAACAGATGCATTTGAGAAAATTGCTAACAAAACTTAATCATCTCAACACACACATACAAATATATATAGGGAAGGATCTTCTCACACTAGTGTAAGTTTGGGAAGGATTTTCTCACACTAATGTAAGTTTAAAAACTCTTATACTTTCTTTAGATATAACTTAAATAAAAGGTTCACATTAAAATGTAAGAGTTTTTAGACTTACATTAATGTAAGAAAATTCTGGCCTTATATATATATATATATATATATATATATATATATATATATATATATATATGGAATATAACTGTTAATTGTCTGTAACTATGTTCTTCTGGATCTGGACTTTAAATTCCTTTATGAAATTTCTGTAACCATGGTTTATAGGCTGGACAGCTGACAGGCCCTTCGGGTGAGATCAGTAATGATCGTCCCTGTCTGTAACAACGCCACGAACTAATGGTACTGAAATATTGCTTTTGTACAGTTCTGCATATCTGAAAATCCTTTACTGGAAGTACAGCAGTTCTTCGTTCTTTTGGATAGGGCTGTAGCAGTAAGTCCCGTATGGTTGAAAGGGCAGTAAGGCTAATTTGACGATGTTGTATTCAAAAGAAACAAAAGAACATAAGAAGCTGGTGGCTATAGTAAAAGAATTTTCAGAATTTTATAAAAAAAAAAAAAAAAAAAAAAAAAAAAAAGGTCCACAAATAACCAGATCCAGTTGAATAAGTTATAAATAATTAACAGATGTATTGTTACGGAACCAAATGAGGGTGATGAGCCAGATGTTTTTATATCATGTCTAGACTCTTACGCTCTTTCTCTCGCATTTCCTTTCGTTCTGGCTCCAGTTCCTCCTCCTCCTCTCCAACTAAAACCAATCTCTTTAATGACCAGGAGAATCATTCTCCTGAAATTACACCCAAACACAACCTCTTCGACGAAGAAGTTCGTTTTGAAGAGATCAACCAAAGTATGGATGACTGGACCATCCCAGTCATTCCTCAGGATACTTTATATGTTCCTGAAGACCAACCTAAGAAAAACAGTTCTGATTATATTATCAAGACTGTTGAAAATAATATTCCTTTAGGGAAAGGTATAGGGGAAGAATTTCATCTCCTGTCTAAATCCTCCCTCAATGACCATAAAAGAAAGTACAAGTATCTTCACATAGGATGTGTTCAGGTAGCAATTAAACCTTTGATAGACATAGGCATAGATGCTGCTGTCTTAATTTGTCTCAGAGACATTCGTCATAATAAATTTGATGATTCTCTCATAGGAACAGTTGAAACTAGTCTCGGTCAAGGTCCGATTTATTTTAACTGTTTTCCCAACAAAACTGTGAGTCTTATGGATGAACACATCCTAGACTCCTTATTTCTTAATATTTGCTTTCATGGGTTAGACATGAAAGAGGGATCTATTCCCGCCGCATTAATCTATAGGATTCAGTATAAGGTCATGAATTCTTGTGCCTCTAGAGTCCTTCTCAAGCCTCAAAAGGGAGAAACTACTTTGTTTATCACTGATATGACAAAGGCTAATGTTTCTCTACCTAGAATTATTAAATGGGATGAGGTTACTCTCCCAGAAAAATGGGTGATGGATAAAGCCTCACCTAGTGTTCCTCGTCCTGCTCCTCAAATACAGGACATCTCACAGGACAATTCTGGAAAGGTTGAAATAACCTTTGATAGGAGAAACTCTTTCTCCTCTAGGATCGATGCTTATAGTAATCGATCTGATTTTGTCTCTGCTAGGAGATCTTTTTCTTCTAGATCTTATGTTAGACCTGATATTCCTAGGTCTGTTAATCATGACCCCTCTCTAAATCTTCAAGGTTTAGACACTTCTTCTAGGATTCCTAGAAATGTTTATCAGACTTCTGAAAAAGAAGACGAAAATCAGAGTATCCAATCTCCAACTTACTCTTCCCTTAATGAGTCTTATGATGTTATCTCATAAATTCATTATAGATAAGGAAACCCTTAGGAAAGATTTTTACTCTGAGGAATGGAAACCTCAAAGAGAGTGGTTCTTTCAAATTTATAGGGGAAAAGACAGGTCTGCTATCCAAGAGAAATTCTATCAATTTCTCGAAAAAGTCAAACAAAATATTCCATTCTTTGATTGGTATCATGCTTATACCATTCGAAATAATATTAATTATCCCTGGCAAGAAGATGTTATTAGTACCTCCTCTGCTAATGTTATAACCTGGCAAATCAAAGATGGACAAATAGTCCAAAGTGATTTACCGCCCACATCTCAATACCAATTACCTAATTTGAAAGACAAAGGCGGTAACCCTGTTACTGCCACTCCTTTCAAGTCTAAAAGTGCTGATGAGTCTATCACTCCTCATGACATCCAAGGCCTTATGGAACAGGCCAATTATACCAATAAATACCTTCAGGTTTTAGGAGAGAAAATCTCTGTTAATCCTGTCAAAATGAAAATTGAAGAAACTGCTTCTTCATCCTCCCAACCACAACTAGAAAAACCTCTTTTTAAGCCTTTTAAGATCAGCGCCAAAGCTAAGCAGAAAATCTTAGAACTTAGGCATAAAGAGAAAACCAAAATAAATGAGGAAAACCAAAATGAGTTGCTTAGTAAAATTACTAGTCTCCTCACTACCATTCCAGACACTCCTCAACCTTCTGAAGAATCTAGTGCTAAACCCAGAACTAGGTCTCTTGCCAAAACTATCAATGCCATCTCTAAGGCTGATTCAGAACATTGTTATGAAACAGACTCTGTCTTAGCTATTAATCCTATCAATAATTGGAAAAATTCTTCCAAGCTTTATTATAATAGAGCTACTGCTCCTGATCTTATTTTAGAAGAAAAACAAGATTTTATTCAAAGTTTTAATTCTAATGATATTTATATTTGGAATATCGATGGATTATCTGAATATAATATCATTGCCAAACTTCAAAATATGTCGGTTGTCGCTATGGGCTATTTTACTAACCAAAATATGCCTGAAGACACCATTGTCTATATTCTTGTTGCTGGTTTTACTGGCCAACTCAAAGGTTGGTGGGATAATTATCTCACTGAAGCTGACAGAGATAACATTCTCTCTGCAGTTAAAATTAATGATAAAGGGAAAACCATTGTCAGTGACAATGAGCATCTCCCTGATGCTGTGTATACGTTATTATACACAATATCCCAACATTTCCTGGGTGATCCTTCTCTTTGGAGGGAAAGATCTGGTGAGTTACTTTCAAAACTCAAATGTGATTCCTTAGAACATTTCAAGTGGTATAAAGATACCTTTATGTCTAGGGTCCTTACTAGGGAAGATTGCAACCAAGCCTATTGGAAAGAAAAATATCTTGATGGTCTTCCTAAAGCATTCGGAGATCTTATTAGAAGTAAACTCCGAAGTCGTTCTCCTACTGGAGAAATCAATTATGATAATTATGATTATGGTCAACTTACTGCTATCATTATCCATAGCGGTATTAAAGTTTGCCAGAAAGATAAACTCCAAAATCAACTTGCTAAAGAAAAAGCTTTGAGCAAGAAAGAATTAGGGTCATTCTGCGAACAGTTTGGTCTTCCATCCTGCTCTCCCAAAAGGAAGAAACATGCCCCTAAGAAAGAGGCTGTAGAACCTTACAAAAAGCCCTATAAGCGCAGGTACAATAGAAAACCCAGTCCTAAGAAACAAGGGGATAATGTCATCTCCACCAATATTCCCAAAAAACCCAGAACAGGCGTAACCTGTTACAATTGTGGTAAACCTGGCCATATTAGTAAGTATTGCAGGCTAAAGAAAAAGATTAGTAGCCTCAATCTAGAGCCTTCTTTAGAGGACCAAATCAATAATCTCCTGGCTAATACCTCTGATGAAGAGGAAGATTCTAATAAAGAATCTGAAGAAGAGGTCAACCAAATTCAAAATGATGACCAAGCTTCTTCTTCTGACAGTGATGAAACTCCAGAAATCAATGTTTTGACAAAAGAACAAGATCTTCTTTTTGAAGCTATAAGCTCTATTTCGGATTTTCAAGAAAGAAAAGAATTTTTAAACAAATTCAAAGAGGTTTTAGAAAATAAACCTAAACCTAAAGAATATTTTACTTCAAACAAATTCGATATTACAGATATTTTCAAA